CAGGAGCTCAGGTATAGGGGTCAGTTAGGTTTAGGGCCTCAGGTCTGGTAGGGTTGATGCCCAGGAGCTCAGGTATAGGGGTCAGTTAGGTTTAGGGCCTCAGGTCTGGTAGGGTTGATGCCCAGGAGCTCAGGTATAGGGGTCAGTTAGGTTTAGGGCCTCAGGTCTGGTAGGGTTAATGCCCAGGAGCTCAGGTATAGGGGTCAGTTAGGTTTAGGGCCTCAGGTCTGGTAGGGTTGATGCCCAGGAGCTCAGGTAAGGGGTCAGTTAGGTTTAGGGCCTCAGGTCTGGTAGGGTTAAGGCAAATTGGTGCCTGTCAGCACTTGATGGGTGATCTGGGTATCATACCAGTTGTCTTTACTTATAAGAATACAACCTGGAACCTAATTTAAGCTGAGTAGGAATCCCGTCACTTTTTAAAAAATTGTTTTCTTCACGGGGATTGGAGCACAGGACCATCAAGCAGTAGGCATGAGTTGTAATCACAGCGCTACAGTGGCTCCCTGAAATATAAAGTACCAGTTCTTGGTACTTGTTTTGTGTTGATTTCTGCTTGCATGTTTCTCAAGTGCACCTCTGTGTGACCCATCCATGCTAGATAAATGCACAGCAAACATTGGTCACTGTATCGAGCAAAAACATGGAGAATAACTAACACAGTTGCTAATAAACTACAAACACTCATTAACTGGTGCCTGCGCAGAGTAGAAAGTATTACATGGTATGATGGAATCACTTTTGTAGATTTTTGGCAGAGAACTACACAAATTCCAATCAAGAGTTGAAAAAAAGACACTGGTGTCGGATAGGAGGAACACTGAGAAAACTGAAGAACAATATAACTAGTAAGGCTGTATACTGGAACTCATAGGGCAAGGATATGAATGCAGACCCATAAAAACATGTAGAAGAAACTAAAGAGTGAAGTTAAAAAGATGGGCAGGACATGGAGTGAGGGAAACAAAGAAAAAGCTGTTTGAAAGACACATCATGAACTATTAGTAACATTCCCCCTCCCCAAATTTTTGATGGCACTCTTGGTCTTGTTTTTTTTAAACCATGAGACTACATTTGTTTCTGTTTTTTTAGTTCCTTTCTAAAAGTGTCCATGTTATCACTGTTATCTGTGTTTGTTGTTGTTGTCTTCATCTGCTTCTCCTGCTGTATTTGTGATACTGACTTTTTGATGTCCATGGAATATTGACAGGCGTACCCTCGTGGTTCTTGTGGAGGTCAGCTTATCTGACTCGACTCGGAAGCTGGAGATTGAGGATGCAGGTGCCCCTTGACTGGACTAAAACACTTTTGTTTGGCAGAGACATCTCCAGGCTTGAGTAGGCTCGTGGCAGGGCATATAAGTATGTCATGTTAACATATCACAATAATTTACTGCGGCCCTTATTTAGACTGAAACACTTCTGTTTGGCAGAGACATCTCCAGGTTTGAGTAGGCTCATGGCAGCAACATATAAGTATGTCATGTTAACATATCACAATAATTTACTGCAGCCCTTATTTAGACTGAAACACTTTGTTTGGCAGAGACATCTCCAGGCTTGAGTAGGCTCCTAGCAGCAAAATATAAGTATGTCACATTACCGTATCAAAATAATTTACTGCAGCAGTGCTGCAGACATGTTAAGTTTTGTTCAACCTGGACAGTTTTGAAAATAATCCATGTCAATGCAGACTTTCATTTGTTTGTGCTGTCACTAATTTTCTTATATCTTTCATTATGTTACTGTTGTGGTGTATGTATGTTTTTCTGCATAATAATAAATGTGTATGCACTTATAAAACAGTTTTCTTATAATTAAAATGTACAGTTATTGTTCTTGTGTAGTTCAGTCCTTGACACTAGAATGCACTAAGCAGAAATAAAAGATGAAGTAGATAAAAGGCATAGAAGAAAATAGAGACAAATGAGGAATTAGGTAAATTGATATCTTGCTTTGGGTGTCTGTATTTTGTTGGCTTTCTTTCTTTCCTTGTCTGTGTCTCAGTTCGGCTGTCTGTGATTTATTTTGTTGTGCTTCTGTTTCTTTGAGTGTTTGTGTCTTTGAGCGCATGTGTTGTAGTGTAACTCTTTGAATGTTTCATGAAGTGGCCCAATGTTTTTCCAAACTTGTCTAAACTCTAAGTTGAATTTTAAACATAAATGACTTTTCGAATATTCATATTACTTAGCAAAGTTTAACGAGTCAAATACGTTGAGTTTTATTAATCAACCAGTCCATGGAAACATTAGAAAATATATTGTCATCCTTTGCTGCCCCTTACCTAGTAGCACATTTATGAGCAGAACACACACAAAACGCTGACTGTTTATGTTGAATTGTTTTAATAAGTTTACATCTTTCATCTGTCTAGATGAGGACTACTTTGTTTATTGTTATTCCATTATATTTTTTGCATTCTTCTCCAGAACCACATCTGTGCAGCCATTAAATGTTTTTCATCTTGTTTGCTTACTATCCAAGTTCCACATGTATCCAACAACACAGGTTCTTGTTTCACATGTATACAACAACACAGGTTCTTGTTTTATATGTATACAACAACACAGGTTCTTGTTCCACATGTAAACAACATCACAGGTTCTTGTTCCACATCCACACAACAACACAGGTTCTTGTTCCACATCCACACAACAACACAGGTTCTTGTTCCACATCCACACAATAACGCAGGTTCTTGTTCCACATCCACACAACAACACAGGTTCTTGTTCCACATCCACACAACAACACAGGTTCTTGTTCCACATGTATACAACAACACAGGTTCTTGTTTCACATGTATACAACAACACAGGTTCTTGTTTCACATGTATACAACAACACAGGTTCTTGTTCCACATGTATACAACAACACAGGTTCTTGTTCCACATGTATACAACAACACAGGTTCTTGTTCCACATGTATACAACAACACAGGTTCTTGTTTCACATGTATACAACAACACAGGTTCTTGTTCCACATGTATACAACACACAGGTTCTTGTTTCACATGTATACAACAACACAGGTTCTTGTTCCACATGTATACAACAACACAGGTTCTTGTTCCACATGTATACAACAACACAGGTTCTACATAACACTTTTTTCTTAATGCATTTGACATCTTCTTGTTTGGGAATCTTTTACATCTTGCTAAAGGCCACTTCTGCTGTAGCAGAATGTTCTAATTTGTGCAAGGCATTTTGAATGTAGTGAGACATCTAATTTGTGCAAGGCATCTTGAGTGTAGTGAGACATCTAATTTGTGCAAGGCATCTGAGCGTAATGAGACATCTAATTTGTGCAAGGCATCTTGGGTGTAGTGAGACATCTAATTTGTGCAAGGCATCTTGAGTGTAGTGAGACATCTGATTTGTGCAAGGCATCTTGAGTGTAGTGAGACATCTAATTTGTGCAAGGCATCTGAGCGTAATGAGACATCTAATTTGTGCAAGGCATCTTGGGTGTAGTGAGACTTCTAATTTGTGCACGGCATCTGAGTTTAATGAGACATCTAATGTGTACAAGACATCTTGAGTGTAGTGAGACATCTAATTTGTGCAAGACATCTTGAGTGTAGAGGGACATCTCATTTGTGCAAGACATCTTGAGTGTAGTGAAACATCTAATTTGTGCAAGGCATCTGAGTGTAGTGAGACATCTAATTTGTGCAAGGCATCTTGATTGTAGTGAGACATCTAATGTGTACAAGGTATCTTGAGTGTAGTGAGACATCTAATTTGTGTAAGGCATCTTGAGTGTAGTGAGACATCTAATGTGTACAAGGCATCTTGAGTGTAGTGAGACATCTAATTTGTGCAAGGCATCTTGAGTGTAGTGAAATATCTAATTTGTGCACGGCATCTGAGTTTAATGAGACATCTAATGTGTACAAGACATCTTGAGTGTAGTGAGACATCTAATTTGTGCAAGACATCTTGAGTGAAGAGGGACATCTCATTTGTGCAAGACATCTTGAGTGAAGTGAGACATCTAATTTGTGCAAGGCATCTTGAGTGTAGTGAGACATCTCATTTGTGCAAGACATCTTGAGTGTAGTGAGACATCTAATTTGTGCAAGACATCTTGAGTGTAGTTAGACATCTAATTTGTGTAAGACATCTTGAATGTAGTGAGACATCGGGAACAACCTTTACATTAGAGACTCCCTGTACCTAGAAATACACAAGACATGGGTGCTGGTGAAACCGACTGTGGTAGACACAAGTTCTGCACAATCACTTCCTACATGATGAAAGATATCATAGTGCATGTTCAAATAAAGGTCTTTTCTTCGTGCCTTCAGGTGAATTAGGCATATAGGGTTCAGGTTTATATTTTACTAACCAATCGACACTCAGTGGGTGATTTGGTCAACATCACACTGGCCGCCTTTATTTCCCAGGATTGTATCTGATACCCATTTAAGGCTGGGTTGAGCTGGGAGCCAAGGTCATTATTTAAAAACCTATGGCTCCGTCGGAACCTGAATCCACTACCTTCCAATTCACAGGTGAGCGTCTAGCCGCTTCACCACGGTAGCTCCCGGGCATACAGGGCTAGACCTTCATTGCTAGACCAATCGGCCCTCAGTGGGTGTTGTGGTCAGCATCATTCTGGCCGCCTTTACTTTCCAGGACCTCACCTGGTACCCGTTCAAGGCTGGGGCAATCTGAGAGCCAAGGTAATTTTTTCAACAAATCTGGCCCTATGTGGATTTGAACCAACCAGCTTCGGATCGACAGGCAAGTATCTAGCTTCTGCACCACCGCAGCTGCCCATATTGTGTGTTACTGAGACGCTAATGAAAACTAGCGTCCAAGAAAGATGGCTGGATACTCACACCAAACACACCCCAGACTCCCTTTATGCCTCTCTAGAGATGGACAGTGTGTCGTATTCAGACTAAGGGAAGTGAACAGCATTTGTTGGAGCTTTTCCATGTAGGAAACACGGAGACGGGTCCCTACAACATTGTACCTGAATATATGGAGCATGTGCGCCAGCAGTGCCAACTGTGTGCTGCTGATAGAGACACCATCAGGCCTTTTCCCTTCTTCAATCAAAACAAGCTGTATGGTACATGGGATGATGTGGATGGTACATGGGGTGATGTGGATGGTACATGGGATGATGTGGATGGTACATGGGGTGATGTGTATGGTACACGGGGTGATGTGTATGGTACATGGGATGATGTGTATGGTACATGGGGTGATGTGGATGGTACATGGGGTGATGTGGATGGTACATGGGTTGATGTGTATGGTACACGGGTTGATGTGGATGTTACACGGGTTGATGTGCATGGTACACGGGGTGATGTGCATGGTACACGGGGTGATGTGCATGGTACACGGGGTGATGTGGATGTTACACGGGTTGATGTGCATGGTACACAGGGTGATGTGCATGGTACACGGGGTGATGTGGATGGTACACGGGGTGATGTGGATGGTACACGGGGTGATGTGCATGTTACACGGGATGATGTGGATGGTACACGGGGTGATGTGCATGTTACACGGGTTGATGTGCATGGTACACGGGGTGATGTGGATGTTACACGGGGTGATGTGCATGGTACACGGGTTGATGTGCATGGTACACGGGTTGATGTGCATGGTACACGGGGTGATGTGCATGGTACACGGGGTGATGTGCATGGTACACGGGGTGATGTGGATGTTACATGGGTTGATGTGCATGTTACACGGGATGATGTGCATGTTACACGGGATGATGTGCATGGTACACGGGGTGATGTGCATGGTACACGGGGTGATGTGCATGGTACACGGGATGATGTGCATGTTACACGGGGTGATGTGCATGTTACACGGGGTGATGTGCATGGTACACGGGGTGATGTGCATGGTACACGGGGTGATGTGCATGGTACACGGGTTGATGTGCATGGTACACGGGTTGATGTGCATGTTACACGGGGTGATGTGCATGGTACACGGGGTGATGTGCATGGTACACGGGTTGATGTGCATGGTACACGGGTTGATGTGCATGTTACACGGGGTGATGTGCATGGTACACGGGGTGATGTGCATGGTACACGGGTTGATGTGCATGGTACACGGGTTGATGTGCATGTTACACGGGGTGATGTGCATGGTACACGGGATGATGTGGATGTTACACGGGGTGATGTGCATGGTACACGGGATGATGTGCATGGTACACGGGGTGATGTGCATGGTACACGGGTTGATGTGCATGGTACACGGGTTGATGTGTATGTTACACGGGTTGATGTGCATGGTACACGGGTTGATGTGGATGGTACACGGGGTGATGTGGACTGCATGCTAGCTTTCGTCAAGGCCATTGGCCTCCTGGTGCAGTGCAGACGATCTCGGATGTGGACAATTTCTGGTGTGAAAAACACTTTGTTTAGGTCCGAGAGATTTTCTTGTTTCAGTTCTTACCTGGGGGTAAAAGTATTTATGATAAGAACAATTTCTTGGGTCGGCGGTGAGTTCTCGTTATCAGGTGTACACTGTAAAAGTTTTCTGACAGAAGGTTCGAGAAAGAAGAAATAGTACGTGTTATGTATTGTTTGTTGAGAGAACAAGGGTTGTGACTGATGAACAGAGCGGCAAGGGGTTGGTATGCGCTACTTATGAACACGGGTCTCATCAGACCTCTTGCACATAATTTATTGAGCAGAGCATTATTAATGCAGTGCATACCGGAGTCTATTCGCACAGTTTCAAACTCTAGTTGCTTCACTTCTGACCTCCACTAGATCTTGTTTTGTTTTGATAATTGTGACAATTATCTGAGGTCTTTGATCTCATCGTGACTCCGATTAGATGGTAAACAAAGGGAATCTCTGATCGTTGAATCCGGCTCTAGCCAAGTAGTGACAGTTTCCAGGGATTTATTGACTGTTGTTGGCTGGATCCTGACTGGGTCAACAATGGGTCCCGGAAGTATACAATCATTCGCACACAGAATGTGTGGGGGATGTAGTTAGGATTGCTCTTGACTACTAGTCAATTGCGCTTGCCTGCGGCTTGGAAAGTCGTGGGTTCCAATCTAAATGGAGACGAATTTTTCCCCTTCAAAAATGACCTTGGCTACCAGGTCACAGCAGCCTTCAATGAGTGCCGGGTACAGTCCTGGGAAGTAAAGGCATTCCATCACTCATCACGTGCCAGTCTATATGATTTTTTTTTAATTAGCTCTATTCTATTGTCTTTTAAGTTTTCCAGTTACAGTTTGTGCTGTATTTAGTATTCCGTTGATAAAGACTTTGGACGTAACGTTCGGTAACTGCCCGGGATAGTGAAAGAACATTTTATTCTCCTGTCCACTGATTCATCTCTGTACTAGTAACTTCACATAGCAGCTGACTCCCCTGCTATAAATGTTTCGGCCCATTTGCGTTTCTTAAAGGAGGATAGTGCAAGAAGATGTTTTTCTCCCGTCCCGTACTTCACTTTCGTCGTCACGAAGTCTCCGACTTCAAAGGAAACCCTAATTATTGTTACGACATGCTTCTTATGGTGGCAGTGTGTCTATTCTTGTCCCCCCCCCTCCCCACCCCACCTCTAGAATGGGGCCCTGGAACCGACACAGGGAGAACTTAACCAAAAGTGTACTGACTTTGACTGGTAGAAAATGATGAGTCTCTGTCGCTAACCCGAGTATATAACCTCCAAGTAAAACCTGACCAAGTGCGTCTATGCCGTTTTCAAGGTCACGCTTTGACCAATTTTGTATTGAACAGTTAAAAGAAGTACCCTGGAATGGCTGCTGCGTCGGAGGTCTGTGCACGCCTTGGGAATATCCAATTTGCACTAACGTCGATCCTAACAATCATCATCACGTGCCCTGCTGACTGGCTTAAGCGTTCATGCATCTCCACAGATGTCTGTCTCTTGTCCTCTGGATCAGTTCCACTAATGATATCCCTCCATGCCACCGTCGCAGTCCATCCGTCATTATCTCCCTTGGTCCGCCGCTCCCCTTTCTACCGTTAATCTTCCCTGTCGTTACAACATTCTCCATAGCCACACCCTCCCCCCCCCCCATCGCATGACTAACGAACAGTGCATGTATCGTAGCAACGTAAACACTTGATGTGTGTTTGCATTAGAACCTCATTTTGAACAGATGAGGATTATTAATCGACGTAAAGCGCCAAAGACGGCTCTGTGGCCAAGTGGATGCGAACGCTTCGTAATGCCGGGGTGCCGGGTTCGATCCCAGCTGTGGGTCATGCGCCTTGCTTTGGTTTCGACAGTAGTATCGGGAAGCCGATCGTAGGGAAAGCAATAGCAAACTACTCTACGTAAAATAACAGTCAGGGGCTGCTGGGGTTGGTTTTGCAAAGTCCTGTAAAGGAAACTAACCTAAAGCGCCAAAATCCCAACCGTTTGAAATGACACAGGCTAATCTCAGAAACATTTAAAACATACACGCCTAATAAATACACCAATAATGAATATATTTATATTGTCGTTTAATTTGTTATGAGAAGAACTAATCAAGAATGTGCTTCCAAACTCATAGAAATTAAATTATAAAATACTATAAGTAAAAGGCTCTAGGTTACAACTGAAAACATTTTTATAAATCTGAATTATATTGAGATAAATTATCTCTGTGCGGTTTCTGGGGCTCCATTATTCGGATAAAACAAGAATTGACTCACTGCCGACCCAACAAGCATGTCGTAGGAGTCGACTAACTGGGGGCATCCTTCGAAGTCGGAGTGCGTTTGCATGAGAGGCAAGGAACCAAGAGTCTGCATACTAATAAACAAGACATGTAAAACGGATGTGCATGCAAGCCTCAGGTTCTGGAACAAAACATAAGTCCAGAGGTGTAAGAACACTCAGAACTGTTCACTGGAATTGACAGCTGATGAACGAGAAGAAGAGAAGTAATTCATTACATTTTAAAAAAAAGAAAACGCATAGTTACTGAAAGGAACACACATATTCACAGCTCTGACATTCTACATCTGTGTAATGCGATAAGTGAAATTACTCTTTTACACAAGAATTGACACCTTTTTAAAAAAAATCTGGGTCAGGATAAATTGGCGTAGGCCTGTCCCGTGAGTATGGTATGTGGCCTGTCCCGTTAGTTTGGTATGTGGCCTGTCCCGTTAGTTTGGTATGTGGCCTGTCCCGTTAGTTTGGTATGTGGCCTGTCCCGTGAGTATGGTATGTGGCCTGTCCCGTGAGTATGGTATGTGGCCTGTCCCGTTTGTTTGGTATGTGGCCTGTCCCGTTAGTTTGGTATGTGGCCTGTCCCGTTAGTTTGGTATGTGGCCTGTCCCGTTAGTTTGGTATGTGGCCTGTCCCGTTAGTTTGGTGTGTGGCCTGTCCCGTTAGTTTGGTATGTGGCCTTTCCCGTTAGTTTGGTATGTGGCTTCCTCTTGCGTGGATCAGTGACTGACATCTCCTGGGTATGGATGCGGTCAAATGTCTGACGTGGGACAGTGAGTTGGCTGCCCACTCTTTCTTGAATGTCTGAAACAGATCACGACCATTGGCTGCAGCAACGTATCGGCGACAAACACGTCTCTGCAGCTCAACAATTTGATGAGACACATAACGTCCTGGAGGCAATACCAGCGCAGTTGAGGAAGCTGTCGTAAACCTGTCTCTGAGGTGATAATGCCGAATAAAGTGATTCTCTCTTGTCACTTGGGTCGTCCACTGCGATAGTGGTCTTCAACTGAATCAGTGGCTTGGGACCGATGGCAAATTCGACTGATAGTACTCTGATCCAAGTTTAGATGCATGGCAACCTGACTTTCACTTTCTCCTGCCTGCAGTCGGCCAATAGCAGTATTCCTTAAATTTGTCGATAGAGGCGCCATTCGTGACTGCTTGAAAATAAACTGAGTGTTTTGGTGTAGCGTTATACTTTTTCAGGGTTTCAGTTGTGTAGGCAGTGAATAGTGTTCACATCAAATTGCGTTGCTTTCTCGTGCGCTTATCATGAGCTATGCTGGCAAATATGGTCTTGAGCACAATTGACCACTGCGTTGTAACGATTGCAAGGCTAGAGGTTTTGAACAACGGATCAACATCATGGCACACGGGTAGTAACCCATTAGTGCTCAGTTCTTCTTCAAACTCAAGTCTGAGTCAAAAGAAGCTCAGCACAGTGCACAGGCTCTGTAGCTCCGGCGAGGATCCCAAAATACTTTAGGTAGATTTTTAAATCCAAATTTTGCCCAGGAAGCGTTAGGCTGCTCTTTTCGATTCCAACTGCCAAAGGATTTTTTACGTGCGCAACAATGCACACGGGCATCTGATCTAACTACACAGAGACCAGGGGGAATTACTAGAAGTCCAAGTCCACGTGAAAAAATCCCAGCCCTTACCGGATATTGAACCTGGAACCTCTAGTACTCAAGGCGGACACCTCGAGACCACGCAGCACCCCTCATCGATTAAAAAAACCCACGCAATACACGCCCAGATGTCCACTGGACACGGTAAACAACATTTGAGGCTGCTTTTCACAAATCCGAGTCCGATATTTTATTTACAAACCAATAAAAACCACCATCAGATAACTATGCGGTTTTGTTTTAAACAGTATATTTGAAAGAAAATTGCAAATGTGAAAGAAAAGAATGATTGTGAGATCCCTGCAGATTGTGAGGCCCGAAGCGGTCGTTTATTTAGCTTACCCCTAACCCCACCACAGGTGTGTATGTGTTTGTGTGTGTCCGTAGTCTTATCCGCAGTAGATATCTAAATTAGTTATTCCAATTAATGTTGGTATTTAATTTATAACTGTAGTATTAATTAACGTTAGTTTTCTTTTGGAGTTTTTCTTACATTTATTTTAATTATCTTGAAACGTTTGGAAGAGGCACGATCGCCTACGTCAGTCGGCATGGCCCTTGAAGGTGAACTTCCATGTCACAGACGCCCCGGTGACTCCGTGATACAATTGTTGGACAAATGTTATTCGCAGTCACGACCGGATGAGGGTTATTTCTGTAGCCGTAGGGTGCCTAGATATAACTAATGTATAGGCTTGGGTTTGAACAACGGATCAACATCATGGTATAAGGATAGTAGCCAATAAGTGCTCCGTTCTAACTCAAGTCTGAGACCGAAGAATCTCAGCACAGTGCACGAAATCTGTAGCCCTGTCGAAGATACTGAAATACAGTGGGAAGAATTTTAACTCAAAATTTTTCCCTGGGCAGCGCCGTTAGGCTACTCTTTTCGATTTGCAGCTGCCAAGTCATTTTTTATGTGCGCACAATACACACAAGCGTCCGATCCTAATACCCAGAGACCAGGAGGAAAAAAAATGGACGACACGCC